CGTGCTGGCCGTGCTGGGCAACGTGCTGGTGTGCTGGGCCGTGTGGCTCAACAGCAACCTGCAGAACGTCACCAACTTCTTCGTGGTGTCGCTGGCGGCGGCCGACATCGCCGTGGGGGTCCTGGCCATCCCCTTCGCCATCACCATCAGCATCGGGTTCTGCGCCGCCTGCCACAGCTGCCTCTTCCTCGCCTGCTTCGTGCTGGTGCTCACGCAGAGCTCCATCTTCAGCCTCCTGGCCATCGCCATTGACCGCTACATCGCCATCCGCATCCCCCTCCGGTGAGCGCCCGGCACAGAGGCCGCCCGGGCCGGGTCTGGCCGGTGCCGGTGGTCGGGGTGAACCCACGGTCGGGGTTTTGTCTGTGGGGTCAGTGTGTTGAGGTGACAGGGCCACGGAGCTCCACCTGGGGCTGCCCCGGGCTTGGCACGTCGCCAGCAGGCGTACCGATCTCGCTGGTCCCTGTGGGCACCGGGCACCCTGGCCCTTCCCAGACTCACCCGTGCTCCGGCTGGTGGCAGAGGAGCGTGGCCCAGGCCTGGGCAGTGTGCTCACACAGTGGGGGGGGTGGGGAGGGGGCACCCCGGGAAACCACAGGATTTGAGCTAGAAGCCGGCCCCCCTCCGCCAGCTCCTCCGCCAGCGGCTGGGGGGCAGGTCTGAAGTCTGCACAGGAGGAGAAGGACCCGGGAGGGGAAGTAACTGGCCGGAGGCCCCAGGAGTCATTTGCATGTGAACCTCTATGCAAATTCTGTGCTCCTGGGGCCACAGTGTGTGTGTTGGGGGAACCAGCCTGTGCGTGGGGGAGGAGGGGAGCTGGCGGAGGGGTTTTTACGGTGAATCTTTTGTGAAGGGACCCCAGTCACAGGTGAAGGGAAGACTCCGGGAGGCTGCGTTTACGGTGGCCTCCATCTCCCCAGCCAGGGATGCGGCTGGAAGTGTCCTCCCGCCTGGGGCCTCGCGCCACCTCCCTGCCCCTGGTTCCCTGGGAGGTCTCAGAGGATGGGGCACCCCAGCCCCAAGCAGGTGGGGCCTCGGCGGGAGCAGGAGGAGCGGCTGGATGAGCAAATGGAAAGTTAGTGTCGAGCCCAAGGGGGCCCTTAGCGGTCATTTCCTCTTCTTTTCTGGGCGGAAAACGGAGGCCCAGGGAGGAGGCCAGCTCGGGGCCACACAGCGTGCGAGCGGGCAGCACAGCTGGGCCGGGGCCTGGGAAGCAGCAGCCTGCCACCCACTGTGATCCGTCCTTGGGGAGCTGGGGGCCCAGTCCCCCGGAGCCCGCCCAGCTCAGCGTTCCTGTCCCCCAGCTCAGAGGAGCGTGGGCAGCCCCGTCATGCGGCTCAGATGAGGGGAGGACGGGCCGTGTGGCCCAACAGGAGGCTGTGCCAGGAGAGCCAGGACCCTTGTCCAGCTAGAGGGCCGGCCTCAGTCAGGGCAGCATGCAGCGTCCAGGCCGCGAGGGTGGCTCCAAACCAGGGTGGGTCTGTGGGCTCCCAGGTGGACGGAGAGCGGAGTGTGGCTCCCACTGCAGGTCAGGCTGCGCGTGGGCTGGGCCTGATGGGAACGTCCAGCCTCACTTTCACTTTCTCCCCCTCCCCGCCCCCCAAAGGGCAGCAGCAGGCGAGAGAGAGAGAGAGAGAGAGAGAGAGGCTGTGGTCGCCACGGAAGGGCCCTGGCTGCCTTTTCCTGCTCCTGGTTTCTGGGGTAGGAGGACGGGACATGCTGTGTGACCCTGGAAAGTCCGCTGTCCCTCTCTGGACCACGTCCTCGTCTGTAAGAGGGACAGGCCTCTCTGAGCTCACAGAGGGGGTGAGGGTCCAGGGAGTGGCCGAGTGGTGAGCCCCGGGGAGCGGGGGGAGGGGGGGGTTCGGCTGTTTCTTGAGCTGCGGGAGGTTCTGAAGGGGCCCTGGATGGAGCATGAACCTGCCGCCACGCCCTCCGACTCCCACCACCTTCCCAACAGGCCCTAGCTCCGCCCACACCTTGGCCTTGGCGCTCAGCCCGGCCCGCAGAAGGCTCAGGTGGGGCTCCTGATCCTTGGCGCCCACAGAGGTGAGGAGGGGCTGCTCCGCCTTCCCCTGGGGCAGAGAGCGCATGGCTGCCTTTGACCCCTGTGGGCACGGCTGCCAGCGGGGGTGACCCTCCTGGGCAGAGGCCGGGGGAATGAGCCTGTGGGCTCGGTCAAGCAGAGGTAGCAGAGCAGGCGGAGCAGGCAGGCAGGGGTGGGCGAGGCCAGCCCAGGGCTCACAGTGTAGGGCAGATGCACATGGAGCCCCCTGGAACTCTAGGGGTACTCTTGGATCATGGGGTGAGCCCTCCCTGTGGGTAACGAAGCCCCCAGGAAGGGGCAGCTGTGAGCTGGGAGACCATGGAGGCAGCGGGTCCTCCAAGTGTGGGCAGTGGCTCTGGCCCTGCTTCCTGACCCCTCTGGGCTCCCTCCCCTGGGTGGTCCCCACCTAGGCCCAAGAGGCCACAATGTGACGCTCTAAGTCCAGGGGCTGTGGCAGGTGGGGCTGCCTGGGCCCAGTGCTGTTCCGTTGTCCCCTGTGGGCCCAGTGCTGTTCCGTTGTCCCGTCTGGGCCCAGTGCTGTTCCGTTGTCCCCTGTGGGCCCAGTGCTGTTCCGTTGTCCCGTCTGGGCCCAGTGCTGTTCCGTTGTCCCCTGTGGGCCCAGTGCTGTTCCGTTGTCCCGTCTGGGCCCAGTGCTGTTCCGTTGTCCCCTGTGGGCCCAGTGCTGTTCCGTTGTCCCGTCTGGGCCCAGTGCTGTTCCATTGTCCCCTGTGGGCCCAGTGCTGTTCCGTTGTCCCGTCTGGGCCCAGTGCTGTTCCATTGTCCCCTGTGGGCCCAGTGCTGTTCCGTTGTCCCGTCTGGGCCCAGTGCTGTTCCATTGTCCCCTGTGGGCCCAGTGCTGTTCCGTTGTCCCGTCTGGGCCCAGTGCTGTTCCATTGTCCCCTGTGGGCCCAGTGCTGTTCCGTTGTCCCGTCTGGGCCCAGTGCTGTTCCGTTGTCCCCTGTGGGCCCAGTGCTGTTCTGTTGTCCCCTTTGGGCCCAGTGCTGTTCCGTTGTCCCGTCTGGGCCCAGTGCTGTTCCGTTGTCCCCTGTGGGCCCAGTGCTGTTCAGCCCCTGGGGACCTGGTCCAGAGAATGAAGCTGGTGCTTTTAAACATGAGCAACGCCTGGAGCACTAACAGCCTGAGGAACAAAAGAGTGGAACTGCCCCGGCCCCGCGCCCCTGGCCCTTCCAGAAGCAGCTCCCCTCGGGCAGTCCCGCTCGTGGGTTTGTCTCTGTCCCCACGAGGGGCTTCCTTTGCGGTCACAGTGGACAGACCAGAGCTGTCCAGTCCGTGTCCCAGGCTCCCTCCCTTCCCAGCAGCTCCCCTTCTGTCATTGCCTCGGCTACAGGCGGGCGGGTCTGCTGCTGGAGAACCAAGAGCAAATCCCCCAAGCAGGTGGCCTCCAGGGCCCTCCCCACCATCCCCATCACGGCTCAGTTCTGCTTGATTGCCTCCAATGACCGGAAGCTCACTACCGCCCGGGGCGACCCATTTCTCCCGTGAGCAGCTCAGCCGAGAAGCTCTTGCCTGGAGCCTCGCTGATCCTACATCCTGCCGGGCGGGCCAGTGCTTCAGGCCTCGGCCTCTTAGCCCCATTTCACAGATGAGGAAACTGAGGCTAGAGAGGCAGAATGATGGGAGCGTACTGGCGCCAGCGCCCAGAGAGGGCCACACTTTCCTCGGGAAAATGTTAACATGAAAGGAGCCCGCACGCAACGTGGTTATGTGGGACCGTATTCGTGGCGGACGGACGGAAACGGGGCCTGGCACAGAGCCAGGGCGTGGAAGTCCTAGCAGCCGAAAGACAGGAACAGCGGCGACTTTGGAGGTGCGGCCCCAGAGCCGAGAGCGGGGCAGGCTGGGTTCTCTGTAGACACGGCGCGTCCCCCGCTGAGGGGCCGGGAGCCCCGGGGAGCGGCCCTGCGGTGACTGTGTGCATTCAGAGCGGGTGTCGTTTCCGAACCCACCGACTTGCCCTGGCCTGAGTGGCCTCTGGATTCCGGAACATCCACCGCAAGTCCATTGCCCTCCCTGGGCCTCAGTGTCCCCACCTGTGAAACGAGGGCCAGATGAGAGGTCTGAGGCCACCAGGTACTTGTTTCCTTCATGTGAATCAGCTGACAAAACTGAAGCCATGGGGCCCCGGCCGGTGTTGCTTAGTGGTGAGCGTCGACCTGTGAACCAGGAGGTCCCGGTTCGATTCCCGGTCAGGGCACAGGCCCGAGTTGCGGGCTCGATCCCCAGTGTGGGGTGTGCTGGAGGCAGCCTATCCATGATTCTCTCTCATCACTGATGTTTCTCTCTCTCTCTCCTTCTACCTTCTTCTCTGAAATCAATGAAAATATATTTTTAAAAACCACACAGAAGCCATGGGAGATTTCACCCCAAAAGTCCGCTGTCCAGCCCCCCCGCCCGGACCTGGCCGCGCTGGGCACCCATGTTGCAGGGCAGGGCGGGACCGGGCGGCACTGGCTGCCCCCCGGACACCCTGCCCCCCAGTCCTCACTTATTCATTTCCTCAGACCAAAC